ACATTTGCACTGCTTGAATTTTGGAGGTAAATATCCAAAATATTAGCTGAAAGCTTCCTCAGAAAGCAAATCTTTCCCACATCCTTCCCTGCAGTTCCTCTTTAAGAGGTGTCAGCATGGCTGAGAGAATGAAGTGGCTCCACATTGTTTGCCTGAACTATTATGTGTTTAACATTTCCATAACAAAAGTGCCACTCGACTTCTCCCCGATTAATGCAGCTCGAGGGCTCTTGTCCTCCTTTAATAAAACATTGTTGAAATCATTTATTTAGAGCCCCTGGTTACTAGTGGGAGAATGACCATCTTTGTGCCAAAATATAGTGTATACAGTCCACTATTTTGTAGTAGATCATTCTGTTATTTAAGAAATTGATTAAATGGATGTCTTAGAAAGTATTTATGCTAATAGCACATTACTTATGTCATTCAGACAGTCAGTGTGAGCCTTTTTAACTGTCTACCACAGCCAATGCCTCAAGTAAAATACAGTAACTTTTAACTTTACTGCTTACAAATCTGTATCACAGACATGAAATCATAGCTCTTCCCATTTGAAAATGTTTCCTGTTGCACAACTACCTACTTTTCCTAGGACTTGCAATGGGTGTGTTACCACAGGCAGTGTGGAAGTGCATGAAGTTATTACTGCGGACAGGAACAAAATCAATTGAAGGTCTAAATTTTTTTGGTGACATTTGAAGACTGTGCAACTCAGTCACTCAAGAAGCATTTTCCATTACTCAAATGGTGACGAATTTTTGTCGCACTACTTCTTACATGTGCACTTTGGCTCTTTTGGAGTACCTCTCAAACTCCAGTGTACTCAAAAGAAAAAACAAACCAAAAATCAAGTACTAGTTTTGCATCACATTGAGATGGAATGTCTTGTTGTCTACCTGTAAAGCTGCCTGCAGCCATCTTTGCAGCCCCATCTAAGATGTGCTCTATAGAGGCATGTCTGTAGTGAGAGATCTGGTAGACCAACAGCTTTTAGGAGGAGTGGAGATTCTAAGTAAAATCCATCATGCTTTCCAATGTGACCATGAAAAGACTTGGCCAAACCAGAGCTTTGCTTATCGCCATTGTAAGGTTTCATTTCGTAACAATTTTAAAGTTATATATGCCTGTCTGTATACATTGGTGTATATTGTTGAAAGTAAACAGAGACCTTATGTTATGTCCATTGTGATTGCATACAAAAGATTTGCTGTGCGCTTGGGTGATCAGTGAAGCTTGAATCTCCCCCTATTTACTGTATGGTCACTGTCAGTTCAATGAACTGCCTCCTTGTTCTCCACCATTGTCCCACACTCCCTTAAACATTTGTCACTGAAGTGCCTCCAAAGACAAATAAACTGTCACCAAGAATTCAAACTTGGTAACTGGGAATGAAAAGGGATCAGAACCTACTGGATTATTTTACATGAAATGATACAGAGTTCCTTCTCCCCCTGGAAGAGATAGCCTGGACAGGACTTCAGCAGAGAGCACTACTAGAGAGCCAGACAAATGAGAGAACTTCCTTTCCTGTTAAAAATCTCCCTCTGCCAGGAAAGGTGAAGTCCTTCCCCTGCTTTAATGTGCTCTTGCTACATCACTTGACATTTCAAGATTTCCATTTGTCTGAAAATCAAGCAAAGGAAATACAGATTTGATGGACATCAACATCTGCACAGGCTTATTTGGCTGGGACAAATGGCAACACAGGCAGCCATTCCGCCTGGAAATTGTGCTGACTCTGACTATACAACAAAACCCAGAGCTACCGCCTTATGGAGAGGAGCTCACAGGACAGAATCAGTTCAGCTGTATTTATTGCACAATAACTTAAATTAAAACAATCCACTTTTTCTGGAGAAGGAAGCATACAGATGAGTCCTCCCTGATTAGTGGTGCTTGGTGTTGATTTATTCCAGGCAGATGCTTTCGACAGGAGCCTGTAAAATTAAGTCTTGAGTTTATTGTAGCAGTTAATTATCAGTCCTTTTCTAGTGCTAATGTCTTTACTCCTAAATGAAGAAAAAGAAAGGCTTTTAGCTGGGACTTAATTTTTCATCAACAACTAGTTAAATAGTCCTTGTGGGTGCTATCTGTTGACAAACTGAAAGCATGTTTCTGGTCATCTATGCAAGAAGTATTTAAGATCATCCTTACCCCATTGTGAACTCAGCACTTTGTAAAGAAAGCTGACTCTATTTACAAGCCTCACCCAACTACTCTGTCCTTCTCCCGAAGAAACAGTTTCCAGCTTTGTTTTAACAATAAGCTTACTCAACCATTTAGATGACTTTAAAAACAAACTTCAGATCACAGCCGCACACCATAGTCATACACTTGTTTGGTATCACAACTATTTGGTGTTGGCTTATTGTGTGTGCACGTGTACTTATGTGCATTTATTGCTGGGCAACATAATCAAATTCACACCCTAAAGAAATAATAAAATAATCTTTCACTGAAATAACTAACCCAGAAGCAGGGATTTCTAATTTTGTTGATTTACACAACAGACAGATGTGGATTTGTGCTCTGTCAAGATCTGGTAAGATGAAAAAGACACTATCTCGCTAATCTGTCGCCCCCTCAGTCAAAGTTTATTTGTGGTAGCTTTTAAACTTTTGACTTGCCTTCCAATTATAGCCTTTAAAACGAAAAGCTTTAAATAAACACCATGAATAGAAGATAAACAAACTTTCTTTTTTCTTTTTTTTTTTT